TCACACGTCCCAGCGGGGAGGGCCGGACAGCGGCACGGACGGCCACCGTCCAGCCCCCAGCACCCCCACACTGAGGCCCACCGTCCAGCCCCCAGCACCCCTCACACTGAGGCCCACCGTCCAGCCCCCAGCATCCCCACACTGAGGCCCACCGTCCAGCCCCCAGGAACCCTCGCACCGCTGCCCACCGTCCAGCCCCCAGCACCCCTCGCTGGGTCTGCCTCTGAGGATCCTCCACCAGCCTAGGAAGATGAGGCTCGGGACCCAGAGCAGGGCGAGGGGAGAGAATAAGAGCTGGCACAGGGCCAGGGGCTGTGTTCTGGCGGACAGAGGCTTTTCCCTTATCCAGGGAGGAATTCGCGTTTTGTGAAAAGCACTCGGGGCATTTCATCATGTAGAAGGCTACTGAAAGCCACGCCGTGCCTTCAGCTGGGAGTCAGGCTGGAGGATTACGGAAGGCCGGCTCGTTTCGAGACTACAGATCCCAGGCTCCCTTGGGGGACAGACACTTCTAAGAGGAAGCGGGTCAGCCAGGCAAAGCTCCAGGGCTTCAGCCAGGACGGATGTGGAGAGAAGCCTCTGAGCGGAATGTGGCTCGCATGCCTGTCTCCCTCTCTCACTTGCACTTGGCCTCCCATCTAATTGCTTCAGTCTGTCAGGGCTGAGAAATTCCTAAGCACACAGTCAATTTACACTTAGCTTAAAAGCTCTGGGGGACAGGAAAAGTTTCCAGTGAGACCACTCACTTACCTACGATTGTTGGGTTAACCTTCTGGATTTCAACTGAGTTAACTCATGTGTTTTCTTAGTGGGAGGAGAGAGGCCATTTGGGAAGATCGATGCTCATGGTAAGACACCAGAGAGCCCGTTGGCAGCCTGCCCCCCTTCCCCTGGTAACTGGCTACACCTCTCAACGGGGGGCTGAGAAGTGTCCTTTGGGGACGAGGTGACAGTGTGGGTGGAAAACCCTCTATCCAACACTGCGCAGGAAGAATGTGCATATCTCTGCTCCCTGCTGGTGCTCACTAGGGTTCTCCAAGAGTAATTAAGTCCTTGGGAACTGGCGAGCATTCCGTGGGGTGTTCAGGGAAGTGTAGATTCTATTTTGTGGTCAGAAACTCATTTCCAACTGAGTGGAAGGTGGGAGTAAGTTGGGTTTCCGAGATAGTACCTGCGTGTCCCCATGCATGGCCCCCACTGGGCCCCCTGGCCTTGTCCCTTCCTGGTCTGCGTGTGGACCTAGTCAGGAGAGCATGTGACCCAGCTGCAGCGTGGTGCCCTGAAACGACAGTCGTAGAGGAATGAGACAAATGCACTTGGTCAGAGCTGGTGGAGTGGCTCTGTGGCCCGCTGAGAAACACCGGCTGGGAGCTGGGGTTTTACGCCTCGCAGCTTGGGTCCACATTTTTCGAAAACCAAAGGCCACCTATGAGCGCCCTCGTGAGGGGACACTGTCCTGTTGGCCACACGGGCAGCACCCCTCAGCGATCAGTCAGCAGGTACACATGAGTGAATGAGGAGGAAGTGGGCCAGACTGGGAGGCCTGGTCCCGAACCCTGCCTGTCACTGTCACTGTCCAATCGTCATTTACTGTCTCCGAACTGGTCCAAGACCCCCAGGGGGCGCCTGAAACCGTGGGTGGTTCTGAACTCATAGTATACTGTACCTTTCCAGCCTGGTAACCGAGTGGCCACGGGGCAGAGGGGTGCCTCACACCCGCTGGACGGGGCTGGATGCTGTGAGACTGCGTCAGGCCCCACGGACTGGCACACCACCTACAAGTCACCAACTCTTTTTTTCCAGAATGTTCATCTTAGCGTTTTCAGACCACAGTTGAGCACGGGTAACTGAAGTGGCAGAAGGCGAAAGCACGTATCCTGTGGCGTCACTGCAGTGCTGTGCGGCAGCAGCCACGCCGGGTATCACGGGACTGCAGTGCTGTGCGGTAGCAGCCACGCCGGGTATCACGGGAGACGTGTACAGCCACACAAGGAAACTAAACGTACGTCGGAAGGAGGACGAAGGTGCCGACGATCGTCTTGCTGGGCAGCCCTCGTCATCGTCCTCGTGTAAAACTTCGTACAGTCTCTGTCCCTCTCCCGCTCAGAGCTCAACTCTGCCACTTTATCCCACTGCGTTTCATGAATACACATTTTTACATTTTTTTAATTGTGAAAGTTTGATACAGTCACAAGCTTATAGAAAAGTTGTAAAGGTGCAAAGAACATTTTTTCATAATTTTTTGTTTTGTTTTATTTCTTTATTTATTCATTCATTTATTTTAGTTTGACCAGAGAGAGAGGGAAAGTGAGAAAGCAAGCCACCAGGATCAGGCCTTGAACCATGGTCAGCCATGTGGGAGTGTCCAGCACTTTAACCACCATGCCACCTGCTGGTCTCCACAAAGAACATTTTTACAGTTTATTCATTTCTTCCACAAGAGGGAAAGAAAAAACAGACTGGCACCCCAACGGGGCCCACACGCTGCCCTCACAGAGACCCAGATCACAGGCCCAGTGCCCAGCGTGCTCAGGGGCGCCCTGATGCCAACCCTGGGTCTCTCCCCAGGGGACAGCGCTGCGTCACCACCACCACCTGGCACAGAGAATGCGCTTTAGTGTGCAATTTGAAAAAGTCGCCCCAAAGGACGTGTGCTTTTTCTTTAAACAGCACTCTCCTGAGTAACCCAGTGTGACGGTGAGAACTGAGGTGACCATGACAGCTCACCACCGCGTGACCTCAGGCACCCCCCACTGCCGTCATTTCCAGCAGGGTCCCACTCAGGTCACAGGTCCCCTTAGAGTTATGAGCTTTCGTCTGGACTCCCGCTGGCGTCCAGGACCTCGGCA